TGAGGCGCGTAGTTTTATGCTGTGTGTACTCTGTAAGTATTCCTATATTTCTATACAAATTTACAACTTTAAAGTAGATATAGTGGAACAATTATCTTATGTGCATCCATTTTAACATAATACAAACTTGTTTAAATAATAAAAGGCACGAAGTGTTAAATTTACTACTCTGTTACTGCACAACTCTGTTACCACTATACAGGGTGTTTCAGTTTATTGTTGCATCACTTTAAGATAGAACTTTTAAAATTAATGCATAAAGTCTATATAAACATGGGTCGAAAAATGCGTGGCTTCCGAAATGCAGGGTGTTTAAATTTACTTTCTAAAATAGTTTTTTTAAATATTTCGAACAATATTTGATGTATAACAGTGAAAATTGGTATACAAGGGTTTTTTGGTACGAAAAATGTGTGGATGCACCCTGATGTGCTATGCATTCTCCAACGCGCCTAGGCATGCTGCTGATCAGGTGGTCAATGTCCTCATGTGGTATCTCATTCCAGGCAACCACCAACTCCTCTCAAAATGCTTCTAGAGTCTGAGGAGGACGTTGCAAATTGAGCAATCTCCTACCCATAATATCCCACACGTGCTCAATTGGGGATAAGTCGGGAGATCTTGGTGGCCATAGTAACAATGTGACATCATTATGTTGAAAGAAGTCTATTGTGACTCTTGCAACATGTGGTCGGGCATTATCTTGTTGGAAAGTTGGATCTGCCAGGGTGTCAAGATAGGGTAAAAGATGGGGTTCTAGAACTTCGTGGATATAACGCTGCGCGTTCATGTTACCTCTGATGAAGATTAAAGGTGACCTGGACCCATAAGCTATAGCACCCCAAACCATAACTCCAACAGTGTGATGAACATGTCTTTCAACAAAAAAACTGTGGATTCCTCCTTTCACCACGTCGCCTTCTAACCCTGGCACGACCATCGTGCATGTCTAAACAAAATTGAGACTCGTCACTAAAGACAATACTGTTCCATTCCTGATCCCAGAGTGACCGTTGTCTGCACCACTCAAGGCGATTACGTCGGTGTTCTCGAGTTAAAGGGAGGACCCAGTGCGGCCGGTATGAAAACAAGCCAAAACTTCTCATTCGTCGGTAAACACTTCGCATGCCAATAGGTCTTCCGTGTTCTGCAAACCATTCATTTGCAATGGACCTGGTAGTGGAGAAACGGTCCCTTAAGGCCAATAATATTAGGCGACGATGTTCACGGTCTGTTGTTCTACGGCGGCGTCCAGTGCCCCTTGCTCTTTGCGTACGACCTTCTCGAAGCCATGCCTGACAACACCTAACCACAGTGTCTACACTTCTTTGCACTCTAACTGCAATTGCCCGAAAAGAAAGTCCAGCTTCCCGAAGTCCCACTATACGGCCCCTATCAAACTCACTAAGTTGACGAAACCGTACAGGTCTCCGTACTCTAGGCATCGTAACCGATCGTAAAGGATGTCAAGAACCAAAATCCGCCAACGTTGATTCTTTACTGCGGCTGAAATATTCATTTTTAGAGCGTTAGTGAATTAAAAAAAAGCAGTATGAAAACCGGAATGTCCAACTGATAAGGCTGAAAATTTTTTCACTTGTTATTTACAGTAAGATAAATACATTCACCAGCTTTTATTAAAATAAAACCATTTAAACTGGGTGTTCGGATTTATATGTCACTTAGTATACATACGGGCCAAGCTAATAAAAGCGTGTTAAAAAAGACCGACAGAGCGATAAAAATTATCTTCATGAACTTCCTCACGCAGATATGAGTGTAAACCTTGAAAGACACTTGAAAACCTTGTAGTGCAAAATTCGAATGCCTCAGATAACACTATATTTTTCATCACGTATACGTTTAGACGTTAGCTTTTGTTTTGCCTTCCTTCGGATTCTGCTGTGCATGTTTAACTCTGCTCACTCATAAGTGCAGTGCATTTCCCCGCTAATTCCTGTGCTCCCATTTTAAACGAAATTGTCTCCGCTACGAAAGTGCGCACTGGAAATTAGGATCATCTCTGCATGTTCACGTTTCAGAGGTTGCAGTTTCACTGAAGATTCCGCCAAGATGTACTTCATAAAACACGGCAGTTGGCACTTTGTGTGGCAAAACGGAACAAATTAGAATCAGTGCACCATAGACGGCTCTCATTTTCTACCGTGCATACCTTTTGCAAACTTTTTTATAACAAAGCAGCAGAAACCTAAATATCAGGAAACCGCGGAAGCTATGAGGAGCTAAAAGACACGTTAGTAAAACTGAGAAAACCTACTCAGGTAGATGGTTTCATAATCGAAATATTCTAAAGACAAAGGAGAGATCGTATCGGCCAGTTCCGGATCTGCGATATTTGAAACGGTCAAGTTGGAAGTCCGAAGTCAGGCGGGTCTATTTGGCATGCACATCACTGCGGCGGCACCAAGGAGGAGGCCCCGAGACTGTCCGCTAGAGAAGAGTCATCGATCCGTCGGTCAGCCCTCTTCTGAACAGTATCGGGCATAGATAATGTATTCGGGACGGCAGCACCCGAAAAATGTGAGCATTACTACAGGATCTTATCTGAGCCTTGTACAGGGTGGCCAACTAAGAATGCGAGGTACTCTAACTGTGAACATATCCGTCATAGAGGCTTGCAGCTAAAAAAGTTCTTGCTAAAACGGCCACTAGTCTAATCATGTTAGCAAATATCATATTATTATACTCATATTTTGATTTAAAATTGGAGTTGCGTCCTCTAGTGGCCATTTCAGAAACTTAAAAAAAATATTTTCTCATAGACAAAAGTACTTCTGGTTTGCGAAATACTTGTAAAGTCTTGTTTTATTGGCGCAAGTTGTTCTGGGGGGTATTAAAAATATGGACACATAAAATGGGTACACCAATTTGTGTGGAAAAACTTTTTATTTGACGACAAAGAATGAGAAACCTTTTTTTTTTGGGATTCAATCGAAAGTGTTGACAGGCACGAAAAAGCTTTTCATATAAGATTTTTAGGTATTTATGAGACCTACAAAATGAGACCATTTTATGCGTCCATGTTTTGAATACCCCCTTGAGCAACTTGCAGCAATAAAACCAGACTTGAATCTAGACGAAATTTCATTTTATGGAAAGTTATATACTAGAAGTCATTTCGAAGGCGTGATAAGTGTCGAATCAACCTACTTGATGCCATTTTCCCGACGTTGGCTCTGGCCTAGAGCATAATACGAAATTAATAATCCCCTTCCTGCTCTTCTTTCCAAAGAAATAAAGCCCTCAAGGTCAGGTACCTGACTTTTTTATTTTCATACTTAAATGTCTCTTCATTATGATGCCAATAAAGTCCTCATCCTTAACTTTTGCGGAAATTAAATAAAGGTAACGCAAAGTGGGGTACCGATGCTAAAAAGCTTACGGACCTGAGTGCTTTTTCGTCCGAAAGAAGAATCCCTTCGTGTGGGGGCGGTAACGTTATTGGAAAAGTTTCTGTCGGCTCAAAAATTACTCAGTTATTCAATTCTACTCGGGCAGCATCCGGGAGACAATGTTTTTAAGTTTTTAATCTCATTTTGTAGCTGCTGATTTAAGACCCCCTTTGCTGGCAAAAATAATTGTTTTACGGGAATCCCTCCATGTCAGAGGAAAGAGAGTTCGGCTAATTTCAGAGTTTTTGAAGCATAGCTTTTTGATAAATGATGCGCTCCGGTGATTCCTTTGTAGAAAGGTGAACTGTGAAATCATTGACTAGCGTATCGCGGAAATGCGTTTGAGCTCTATTAAAAAACGTCAAGTAGATTTACCAGATACTTCCGAATCGTTAAATTTGTCAGAATACTACGTATTCACAGTGAACTTTGTTAACGCTGTCTACACTACGTGGGATGTCCTTTAAGTTTTGCATATGGAAATAAAACAACACGGTAGGTAGTTTTAAATGACTTTATTGTTTTTCGAAGTATTCTCCATGAAGATTAATACACATCTGCATGCGCTCGAACCAATTTTCGAAGCACTTATTCCACTCGTTTGCTAACAGATCCAAAACGGCATTTTTGAATGCGTCAACTGCGTCTTCTGGTGACTGGATCCTTTGACCACGCAGTCTGTTTTTAATTTTCGGGAAAGTAATGGGACTTAGATCGGGACTATATGGAGGATGGTCCAATAATTCCACGTTTTCTTCCGTTAAATACTGCCTTGTCTTTTGGGCTGTGTGCGAGCTTGCATTGTCTTGGTGGAGGATGATTCTTCTTCCGGGGTTGATTTTTCGAAGCTCGGTGATGACTTTTGGCAAACAAATGGTGAGAGGAATTGTTGCAATATGACCCGCTTTTGACACAAATGTTGCGACCATCTTTTTCGAATCACATCGAGAACGGATGACTTTTGTTGGCTTTTATTCACCTTGGAATACCCAAACAGCTGACTGTCATTTATTTTCTGGTTCATAACAGTAAATCCACGATTCGTCACCACTAACAATGCTGTACACATTTTTTGAGTTTCCGGAATTGAAACGGCGTTTTTTGACACCAATTAACCCTGGCTGGTTTCTGTTCTTCAGTCAACAGGTGGGGTATCCAACGAGAAACTAATTTTTTTACTCCTAATTCTTCATGTAATTTTTTTTGAATTGAGGTCTTTGAGATCTCCAAGGACGCCTCAATCTCACGATATGTCACATATATATCTTTAATGATGAGTTTGCGCACAGCATCGACATTTTACTGGGTGATGATTGCGTCGATGTATTAGGATTGCTCTCATTTAATCTTGGGTTTGAACTTTCCGCTGGATTTTGGAGAATATTAGCTTGGGGTAATTGATCCTGTACTAAATTAATATTAGTGGTCTCAGAAGCGATAAAGTCGTCTTCAGTGAAGACAATAGGATCATATGGCCAGATTTTGAACCCAGAGGTACTTTTAGTTATTGTAAATTGTCCATATTTTCTCTAGCCAATTTTACTTTTCGTTCCAACGTAGTTTGAGGAACTTCAAAAGATTTTGCAGCTAAGTAATAATTTTATTTTCCACTACAGCATTCTTCATCTGCTCTTCCGTCCAACCCCCTCTATCGGTTTTACGAACGTAATTTCGCACCATTCTGAAATGTAAAAAATGTTGGATAAATCTTAATCGGTACCACCCTATCTTGCCCCATGAGTGATACCCCATCATGCCCCCTCCTGCATTATATAAAAAAAATAAAAGCAACAAAAAAATAATCTAGTTATTTAAAAAAACGAAAGCTCACCTTAATTTACAATGTCAAAAGCTTCCTCAGTACCCAGACTGTATACAAATATTTTGTAACAGTTTCACGCTTGTAAACAAATGCGAAAATAATAACGTAACCTCAAAAACACGTGATTCCGTGCGGTCTTAAAAGCGCGAACTACTACAATAACGATACAGAAGCTACTGAGATAAGCAACACGTTGGCGTCGTTTCATGTGTAGTTCTCGAATTTAACACCTTGGATTGGCTGAATAATACGCGTACCCCATCTTGCCTCGTTACCCCACCTTGCTCCACCTTCCCCTACTGTGTTTTGAAATCATTAACTGTACTAGATTATTGCGTCCATAGCCATTGGTAACCTCCAGCTAGTCAGAGAGGAACTTGTTGCTAGTCTTCTTCTCTCCAGCTCACCGGCAGAGATCGGATTGTCACTTTGAATTCCTGTATGTAGAGTGCTGTCATCAGCAAAGATGTGGTTCGGATTGATGGTACAGTAAAGTAGGTCGTTGATATCAGGATATCATGATAATGGAAGGAAGGCTCTGTCGTTGGCCCAATATTGTTTTTACTGTACACTGTTGGTATTCATACGGTTATATCTGATTCCCCTCTGGTAACTCACGCCGATGATACGTAACTGTATCAGTATTTTAGCCCCGAATCTACACATTAAGCAGTTCGTGAAATTAGTATGGATCTTGAAGAAATTGTGAGATACTCTGAAGATTCAGTCCTGATAAATGTAATCTCATGCTGTTTTGTTCTATATCCATCTATATACCATTCCTTAAATATACTAAGTGACATATAAATCCGAACACCCAGTTTAAATGGTTTTATTTTAATAAAAGTTGGTGAATTTATCTTACTGTAAATAACAAGTGAAAAAATTTTCAGCCTCATCAGTTGGACATTCCGGTTTTTATACTGCTTTTTTTTAATTCACTAACGCTCTAAAAATGAATATTTCAGCCGCAGTAAAGAATCAACGTTGGCGGATTTTAGTTCTTGACATCCTTTACGATCGATTACGATGCCTAGAGTACGGAGACCTGTACGATTTCGTCAACTTAGTGAGTTTGATAGGGGCCGTATAGTGGAACTTCGGGAAGCTGGACTTTCTTTTCGGGCAATTGCAGTTAGAGTGCAAAGAAGTGTAGACACTGTGGTTAGGTGTTGTCAGGCATGGCTTCGAGAAGGCCGTACGCAAAGAGCAAGGGGCACTGGACGCCGCCGTAGAACAACAGACCGTGAAGATCGCCGCCTAAGATTATTGGCCTTAAGGGACCGTTTCTCCACTACCAGGACCATTGCAAATGAATGGTTTGCAGAACACGGAAAACCTATTGGCATGCGAAGTGTTTACCGACGAATGAGAAGTTTTGGCTTGTTTTCATACCGGCCACACTGGGTCCTCCCTTTAACTCGAGAACACCGACGTAATCGCCTTGAGTGGTGCAGACAACGGTCACTCTGGGATCAGGAATGGAACAGTATTGTCTTTAGTGACGAGTCTCGATTTTGTTTAGGCATGCACGATGGTCGTGCCAGGGTTAGAAGGCGACGTGGTGAAAGGAGGAATCCACAGTTTTTTGTTGAAAGACATGTTCATCACACTGTTGGAGTTATGTTTTGGGGTGCTATAGCTTATGGTTCCAGGTCACCTTTATTCTTCATCAGAGGTAACATGAACGCGCAGCGTTATATCCACGAAGTTCTAGAACCCCATCTTTTACCCTATCTTGACACCCTGGCAGATCCAACTTTCCAACAAGATAATGCCCGACCACATGTTGCAAGAGTCACAATAGACTTCTTTCAACATAATGATGTCAAATTGTTACCATGGCCACCAAGATCTCCCGACTTATCCCCAATTGAGCACGTGTGGGATATGATTTGTAGAAGATTGCTCAATTTGCAACGTCCTCCTGAGACTCTAGAAGCACTTCGAGAGGAGTTGGTGGTTGCCTGGAAGGAGATACCACAGGAGGACATTGACCACCTGATCAGAAGCATGCCTAGGCGCGTTGGAGAATGCGTAGCACATCAGGGTGCATCCACACATTATTAAAGGTCAAAGGGCTTTAAAGCAGTGCAATCATTTTTAAAATTTTATCATTTACTTATTATGCTTCATTAAGTACTTATACAAAATTTTATTAAAATAAAACCATTTAAACTGGGTGTTCGGATTTATATGTCACTTAGTATATACAGATTGATGGACTAGCTTTTCCAGTGGTGGACAAAGCAAAGAATTTATTACTAATATTCGATGAATCTTTACGTTTCTAGGAGCATGTTGCTAATATTTTGAAACAAATGTTATATTGTTCTTTTGTTTTATTTTATTTTTTTTTTGTAATAAATTTTTATTGAATTTTGAAACTAGGAAAAACTGCTAGAGACGCTAATCTCTCCTATACTCTCTTACTGATGTGTAGTTTATTACTCGTGCCTCGATGCAGCCACTAAGAAGTGCAAAACAGCTGTTGCAGATTTGTTGTTAGTTTAAAGAGATATGATCGTATTTCATTTTATATTAGTGAGCTGGGTTGGTTGTGTATGGACGATGCTTTATATATATATAACTTGAGACGTGGTCATTGTCGTCTAGACCAGTTAGGTGAAAAATTAAAGCTTCCGCCTTTTGTTGGGTACTTCGACAAAATTTAAGCAAAGAGGACTCTTTATACTTTTTTAATTTTCTCTAGCTTTCAATGGACTTTGCCATCATCATCAGGAGCTGCAATTACAATGATAACAGTAGCAACAAAAGTGTAAAATGAATTTAAATTGACTCAACTTACAGTAGTATGTGAGGATGTTGCTAATTGTTGTTTACGTATAGGATGAGGGAAACGTCCAGTAACATGGTGAGACTGGATACATGGTACAATGGTCAAAATTATATAAAATATGACAAGAACAAGTTAAAAACAGATTAAAAATTATTTAAAAACATTAAAACATTACATCGTGAAGCCACTTGATGATTGCACAAAATGGTGGTCATGGAATAATGAGTGAGATGAACCCTTTGACAGAAAGCCGAAGGTTGTCAATGTCTGTGTTGAAAGATGGGAGGAATTGTGGGCGTGTGCCAAAACGTAGCCAAATCACTTCAGATGATGTGATTTTCAGAATGTTATGGCAAAGTCCATTGAAAGCTAGAGAGAATTAAAAAAGTATAAAGAGTCCTCTTTGCTTAAATTTTGTCGAAGTACCCAACAAAAGGCGGAAGCTTTAATTTTTCACCTATATATATATATATATATATATATATATATATATATATATATAAACTAGCACTACAGTCCTAGTACGCCTATGGCTTGATTGACGATCCTTCATTCATTGCTTTTCTTTCCCAATCACTTAAATTTCATTTCCTCAGGTCATCTTTCACCTCGTTCTGGGTCTGCCTCTCCTTTTCTTCCCTTCTATTAAATAGGTAAGCAGTGTCTTTGGTACTCTATGTTCTGTCATTCTTTGCACGCGTCCCAACCATATCAACCTCTGAGCTCCATCATCTAACATTTTGCCACCAAAAATCTACCTTAACACCTTCCGTTCCCATATCTCCAGCTTTGCTTGTTCTGCCTTTTTTGTCGTCCATGTTTCACATGCATACGTGACCACTGGCCTTATTAGCGTTTTGTCGATCCTGATGTTAGCTCCCCTGGATATAATTTTGCTTTTAATTAGTCCCTTTAGCGCATATATGGCACGATTTCCGGCCATCATTCTTCATCATACTAAACCAGCCCTGTTTATGTTTGCTGCTTGTATAGTTTTCTCGACCACAATGTTAAATAGCAGCGATGCTTACAAATATCAAATGCTCAGTCTCTCTTATAAAATATTGGATACACAATCCCCTTCCTATCTTTATAAACGTTTTGTAGCTCGCCGTAGTTACAGATTTCAACTTCAGATTTAAGAATCGCATAGAAATCCGTCTTTACAGAACTACATTTTACCGTGGGTCGTTTATTTATAACTCTATCAAAATATACAACGATGCAAGTGAACTTTGTCGATACTTAATATAAAAAACAAACCAAACAGCTTCTTCTATATAGTTGGCGTTACCTTGGCAGATTGATTCAGTTTATTCGTTTAACTTAGATGTTATTGAAAACTACCTGACAATAAAATTTATAGACCGTAATAACTAACCCTGAAAAACGTTTACCATGGTACACGTACGGAGGCTTTACAAATATAGGTCTTACAAATATTTCAACGCCTAAACCTAAACTTATCTGGACAATGGTCTTCTTCCAGTTACAGCTCTAGGCGTAGCTGTGATGTTCTCAGCTCTCAAAAACTCAGACCAAAAATTAGTGGAGATTAGTGAGCAGTGACGAAAGGAATGTCTCAGGGTAAGGGCTGCTTGCCTCGTTCTCAACATTTATAGCAAAAAAACCCTAGAGAGGGAAAAAGACTGTTTAAAAATCTACTCTCTACTCTATGTCTGAGACAGAACTACACATTTAAAAGACTCAAACTTGAAGAAAAATCCATGTACATTCTTCTTTTACAAGAAAACTACTTTACTTTCTGCAAGGACAAGAAAATATAAAGATATACCAAAGCGATATACCCTCAGAAAGTTATCCCTCGTTCTAAAATAAGTTATGGCAGTTAAAAATTCAAAATCATGATTAATGTAATGTAATAAACCCAATAGACGGTGTCATGTAGGCACTACCCTATATTTGAATACGTAAAATGCCAAACAAAATCAAGAACACTCTAAGAATTTCAGTCAGCAACAAACAATACATCAATATCTATAAAATACCCAATTAAAATGATATTTTACCTGTCCACATCAGGGTCTTTATAAAGGGGAAGAGATGGCTTCCAACAAAATCGGCTGCGAAACAGCTACAAGGCAGCTACAAAACAAAGCTGGAGGAGTGTGAATGGTGGTTCTCCACAATGGATTTCCACTAAAAGGAAGCAGATATTGAATAAACCTCTTCAGGACAAGATTTAAAGGACGTAGTCCGATTGTTTACAAAAGCGAACTTACCGCTGGAGGTTAAAATCCCATAAAGAAATGGACGGGTAGTAGTACTTAAACCAACACAACTAAACGTAAGGTACAAAATAAAAGGGTACTGCTCCATAAACTGGTGCTTGGGGCGTTAATATAAAAAAATCTGGAAGTTAACGAAAAAAAAAAATGCCCGCACAC